TCACACTGAGAAGAGTCCACACGGCACCTCCCATACCTGCATGCACTCACCAAGTGACGGACGGCCACGTCGCGACAGCGAAAGGTAGAGGAGCACGAGACACACTGATTAGTCACGGTGAGCTTCGATAACACATTCTGCAGCCCATGCTGGCCTCCAGAGGCCTGACGCTGGTGAACCAATACGGCCCTACGCGCAAGGAAGCGCCTATCACGCACCAACCCATCATCAGTAAGAAGACAACATACATAACCCCCAGCGGCTAACTCACCAGGCCCAGGGGGTGCAGGTCCAGAACTCTCATCCCGAAAAAGCCACTCTTGACGATGCTGCTGCAAGTCTAATCTCTGACAGGCCTCGAAGGCCTCGGACTGGCTCCTGAAAACATTGAAGTAGTCCCCATCCGTCGCCTTCACCACCACCCCCCCCCCCCCCTCCTCCGCACATCTCAAATACTCCAAGTCCTGGAAGAATTGGCGAGCCCAGGGGTTCGACCGAGACGCATCTGCAGAAGATGGGGCACTCACAAGGAACCGAGCAAAGGGCGACCCCACGGGCTTCTCGAGGTCCAGGGTGCCACACACACACAGCAGTCATCTGCTGTATATGATAGCCGGGTGAGCGCGCGACCTTTTGCCACTCTTTGAGTCTCTGAACACGCAGTTCTAGGCCCATGGGAACAGGACCAGCTCGTCGCCACAGCTGGACAGCGGGAGGGGTGCGAATGACGACAGTCTCGCTCCCGTCTTCGGCCTGCACCCGCACCGCCACTGCAACTCCCCCGAGCAAGACTCTCAGGCACCTCAAGCACGCGGAGTCGAGACGAGCTTCTTGCGAGGGAGAGGGCACACACGCAGTAAGGCCCGAGACGGCAGCACCAATGACGTCACTCTGGAAGGCCATCTTTTTTGCCCTCCACGACGTACACTGTGTCCAGAAACGTCTCATATGGGCCCATCCTCGGGCCAAGCCGCGCACCTCCTGGCAATCTCTGGCGCCCGGGGCCCCGTCGGCGTAAACAACGTCCCCAGGAACGGAATGATGGGCACGACATCCCCCGAAAGCTCGTTGGTGCCCTGGCCCTGGAAGACAGCCCTCAAGAAACGATGAACTCCATGTCCGACGAAGTGAGGAAGAACCTGCTTTTTCCCGTCCGACTGAAAAATGCCGTGCGCATTGAGATTTCGATTCGGCAGCTGGTCCGAGCAGCCAACGATCTGCCTTGCGGAAGCAATATCAGTGACCACGTGGGTCTTGTTCACATCATCGGCTAACACTCGCAGCGATAAGTCACATCTATCTCCAGAAATAGAACAGGTACCCATGAGCTGAGACTGGTGCACATCATGATGCTCACGCTGCCACTCAGCAATGGGAGGAGCGAAAGCCTCCTGGAACGCCACAGCCGCATTCGCATCCCCCATGTAGTTCCCCTCCGAGTTCTGAAAGACCCTAGACCCCCCCCCTCGGCACACACTCTAAAGCAAGCATTACGATGACGTTGTTGAAGGATCGCAGCGTCAGCAGGGGCATATAGTCGAACGACGGCCGAGTCGAGAGTAGTGCGACGCACAGAACTGAAAGCATTACGCATGTCGTGCTCGGTGTCGATGGTGGATACGCGTGCCTCCTGCGTACGCCAAGTGAGTGCAGCAGTTGTCCTAACAGCCCCAGTCCGTGAGCGACTCGGGAGATAGCCGTAATCATAATAGGGGATCTGACGGGCCTGGCGTTCAGCCACATGTTGTCAAACGCGCACAACCCATGCAACAGTCTCGTGCCGTGTGTTCTAAAGTTTCCATTATCTTTAGGTAGTTGGTAAGTGCACGACATATTCCACTGTGCCACAAGACGCCCGTGCTGCCTAACTTTAGCTAAGATGCCTGTCACCCATCACCCAAGAAGTTCACCACGCCCTAGGGGTTCAGCAGCCCCAAGACCAGCAACACGATCACGAACCTCAGGCCTCTGAGTCAAAAGTAGAGCCCAGACCTCATTCGGGAGACTCTGGGGAACTGCAGCCCGTCTTCGAGCCGCCGCACGGAAACCCTTCGAGGCCCTCAGGAAGTCCTCTGTGGCCCAGGCGATGCCGTCGTCATTCGGTGGTTCATGGCTGTCATAGCGAGAGGCCCCACTCACGCACGCCTCGTCGGATATCAGCCTAGCGGACATCCCACCCTCGCTCGACGGCAACGCAAGATCCCCCATCCAGTCATCCAAGCCAAGTGCGCAGGCGGCGATGCGCCCGAACTTCCGACGACGCGGCCCCACTCCTGCCCCCGCCATAAGCCTACATAGACGCTACTCTTCACTAGCAAGACCTCTAGCTTGCGCATCAGTTAGCTCTTCGGCCAGTTGAGATTCACGAAGTTCTCGCAGCTCACGACGCATAGCATTACACTTCCTCGTAAGCCGAGACAATGCCAACACAGACTGGAAATCATCAGCAAGGGCCTCACGGGCCCGTCCACGAGCAACTAAAGCAGCTATCCGATCTTGCGCAAGTTTCTGGTGGGCCGCTGGAAGCGCAGCCGGCGCGGCCTCAAAGATATCCAGACCCACGTCCTGAAGAAACCCAACCAGAAGAGCCCATCCTCCCTCCACAGACGCTGCCTGCTGCACTAACTCCTCTACATTCTCAGCACCCTTTGACCTCATGAACTCCCCCATGGCCTCCTCAACCTTTTGCCAAAATGGATGCGCGAAGAACTCTGACCGCAACGCCTGCCCCAGGCCCACGTAGTCCCAGCGCCGACGTCGCCCACGATCAGCGGCGCACGGCCGCAAGCATATCTCCGGCAACGAGGGAACATGGCCGCGCGGACGACTGTCAGGAATAGCTTGTAGGTGCCGAGCTGACCGATACAGCAGCTGAAATCCCCAAACACGCCCCACATGCGCCAGCGGCATGAAGACATGATCGATCCAGGATACTGACTGCGAAGTAGGCAGCGCCGACAGTTGCGGCCCCCGTTCCCGCCGCATTTCCTGCTCGGCCCGTGCCTCGCGTTCTAACGCCTGCGCGCAGGTAGACGACGAAGCAACTGCTTGCGGCGACGGTGAGCCACGCCCTCCTCGAGGAGCAGAGGGACGCGGCGGCTCTGACTTCCGAGGCTCGCTTTCTGACGCATGCGCGCAGGTGGGAGACGATGCAACTGCTTGTGGCGACGTTGAGCCACGCCCTCCTCGGGGAGCAGAGGGACGCGACGGCCCTGACCCTCGAGGCTCGCGCCCTGACGCCTGCGCGCAGGTAGAAGACGATGCAGCTGCTAGTGGCGACGGCGCGCCACGCCCTCCTCGAGGAGCAGAGGGACGTGACGGTCCTGACATTCGAGGCTCGCGTTCTGACGCCTGCGCGCAGGTAGACGAGGCAAGCGGCGACGACGAGCCAGACCCTCCTCGAGGAGCAGAGGGACCTGACGCACCAGCCCTTCGAGCCATAGTCGGGGCCCCATAGTACGACGGCCCACGCGGGTAAAATGTGTCAAGCGCGGCCAAGTCGAAGATCTCTGCCAGTTCTCTCATTGCCGCACCTGCCTGATGTTCAATACTGAGCCCATGCGCACCAATAGCCGTCGATTCCACAACTATCATCGGACAGTGTCTGCCAGTCGCAATCCCAAGCCCGTCGTTCACATCCGACTCCACAAGAGGAAACGTGCGCGACGGCAAGTCAGTGATGACATTCGAGGCACACTCGTGAACCTTGGCGATGGTGCGTGACAATCTCAACTGCTCGCGGGGGCCCTTCGACCTGGGCGGGAAATAGAGACCAAGGCATGTGATATCTCCATGGAAACTCTTGACGCGGATGGCCGCAGCACGGCCTCTGATGTCCATCGGGGGTGTCCAAATCCTAACTACGTCTTCAGCACGAACAGTTGCCTTATTCAAGTAGAATGAAATTCCACACGACGAACTCGCATACTCAGACTTAGTGTGATATCCACAATGTACAACTTTGAAGTGAGGCAGATCCTCAACATAATACGCACCATGCACACACTCACGTTGACTCCCAATCATTATCAGTATATCTATCTTCGAGAACTCATACTGGATCTCGAGCTCCCTGTCCCGATCTGCGACCGACAGGGGACTCCAGCTCAGGATCCGCATGAATGGCAGCAACGCACAGACGAGAAGAAACATGCACGTAGGATACAGCACGTGGGGTAAAGCGTGGGTGGGGCGGGCGGAGGCCTGCCTCGATGTCGGAAGAGCGGAGGCCTCCCCGCGCGCCGAGCAGCCGCGGCATGTGCTGTTCCTGTGCTGTTCCTGGGCCGCGCGGCTGGGCTGATGAGGAGGAGGAGGAGGAGGAGGAGAGGAAGGATGAGGAGGATGGGGGAGGAGGGGAGAGTAGTGGTGACGGGCCAAAGACGAATGCGACGCTGACCAGAGGCGAGAGCAGGGATGAGGGACACAGCGAGAGCAAGAACGGTGGCCAGGGTGAGGGCAGCAGCGAAGGCGAGGGTATGGACGGGCGCGAGGGGAGGGTGGGGGGCGGAGACCAGCGGCGAGGACGACGGGGGTGATGGTGAGCGCCGCCGTGAGGCGTGAGCACCGCCGTCAGGCTCTTACCGTCGCTGGCGGCAAGGACGGTGGGAGACAGCGGCGGAGGAGGCGCCGGGCGATTAAGGTGGTCCAGGGCAGGATCAGTCCGCATCAGATCGGGAAATCGGATCGAATCGAAATGTGCGTCGGATCCGGCTGCTTCGGAACGAAGTCGAAATCGCATTGGATTGGCTGCGCCAGGATGCAAAACAACGGCGCGCAAGCATCGGGCCACATCGGAGCGTCGAAGTCAGAATTGAATCGGATCGGGCCAACCGGATTCGATGTCAAATTGGATCGACAGGATCGAAATGGACAATGCCAAGGCAGCAGACGCAGAGGGGCAGCCAGCGCAGTGCGCCAGCGGGGCGGCAGGGCAGTATCAGAAGCGCCCGCCGCGCACGCTATTGCAGTGCGCGGCGCAGCACAGACATGCGTCGGCTCTT